CGGGGAGGGCGAGCGCGGAAGAAGGAGCCGGAGCCCCGCGCCCTCGGGCAGGTGGGTGGCGGGCGGGACTACGGGGGCTCGAGCCAGGCCGGCCGGGCTGAGGCGGAGCATCGCCGCCGGGTCGGGGAGAGCCGGGTCGGCCGTCCTTCCATTGTGGGCGGGAGGGAAAAAGCGAGCGGGAGAGCCCATTCTCGAGCCGTGCAGGGGGGAGGAGGGCAGCGGCGGGAGTGGGTTACACCATCCACGGCTCTTAGAGAGACCCGTCCCGACCGCTGTCACTGCGCTTAATTAGTACTGTCATTGAGTTATTAATTCACCGCAGCGGAGCTGCTCAGGGATCCACAGGTTCAGGGCTTAGCAATGACCCGGTCTCCTGTGGAAGTGTGACCGACTAATGCTTCACGTTTCCTGCAGGATTCAGCGTTCCCATCCCTCGGCTCCGCCTGGCTGAGCCAGAGCTCTTCACCACCGCACTTAAAGCCTGGCACCTTGATGGAAACAGATGTTGATGGTGGTCCGAGGTGACGTATGACTGAGGAGCAGGCCTCCTTTTTTGTTTTGTCACCGCTGCAGACAACTTTGGCTGGCTTTGTATCTGGGATTTAAATTGCCTCTTGTCAAACAATCAGTTTTTCTTGAGTTAGAGGCTAAACTGGGTTCTTCCAAGGCTTCAGCTTTTAATGACTGCAGAGGTTTAATGTGATTCTTAAGTGTAGTCTGACATACTTTGTCAGGTAGTTCAGTTGGGAAAATGGGTGTATGACTAATTATATACATTATTTTTACAAGAATAGAAATTACGAGAAATTACTACTACTTCTACTAATAGAAATTACTAGAATCTGAAAAATCTGAACAACCCTTGGTATTTCAGGCCAAAAGTTTCAGGCAGAACAATATAAACTGTAATATAAACATAATAATAATGTAATATAAATATAAACATTTTAAGCAACACACGTGCCATGTTCAGCTTGTGCTTTCGAACTGTTTGTATAGTCTCTAACGGATTGAATTCCAAGCTCTTCTTTTAAAGGAGTATGTTTATCTTATATTGTGCCTGTTTTGCAGATATTTGTGGAGGTTAAAAGATTTGAACTCCAGCTGAATAAAACAAGGGCTAAACATTGAAGGATGGCAGCAAATCCTTCAGGACAAGGTAGGTTTTAATCTAAGTATTCAAGGGAAAAGACTATGCAAAATATCAGTGAAGTCAGTGTAATTGTAAGTTTATTTTCATGACTGAAGAAAGATTATTAATTTTATTTTAAGATGAAGAAAGGGAAGAGAGGTGGGGCTTAAAGCAGCAGAATGGCAGCAGTTCTGGGACAAGGTACACACACATTTAATGGCTGAAAAAGATTATTGATGGCTGGGAAGCTCTGAATTACTGAGCATAATGTTGTGCTAAGCAGTAGGAAGTACCTACCTTGTCTGTGGTACAGTGATCATTTCCTGGAACTTATTTCAGACACTTACAACACTTGACATTGAACATGACTTGCAGCTATTGCACTCAACATCAGAGGACAGCCAGAACTCAAATACATTCCATGCTGTGCTGGGAACAGCAAGACCCCGACAGTAGTATCTGTCCCAGGCAGCAAGTGACCAGGCCTAGGAGAAACAGCCAATTAAAGCCATAGTGGTAATTGCAATGAACTGTTCCTTTATACCAAGAAGCGTCTCAATTGCATCATTAAAATAATAAAAATCTTAGTAATGGTCCATCTATCCAGGCAATGCATGTGCTTTAGAGGGGGCTGAGGGTCTGGGGATGTCACCCAGTAAATTTGAAGGAGAATCTTAAATCGCCCTCTAGAGGTGTTTTCTGGAAACCATAGGGGAATTCAAAGGCATTTCTTATATGGAAGAGCTGGGGAAAAAGCGTCTCAGGGATGGTTCTTCCCCTTACCTGGTTATGAGAAATTAATTCTGGGTTCAGTTTCCCAGCAAGTGGACACCTTCTGCAGATGTGTGTTTGTGTCCTTACCTCAAGCAGTTCTGCAAACCTGGGTGTTGCTGGATGATACTTCAGGTGGTGTCACATGACTTGTGTGGGTCCAAAACACAGATTTTACTTGCTACTTGACGAAAAGGAGGTAGTTTCTGGAATGCCTACTGAGATTTTGCAAGGTGTTGAGAGAGGAGTGCTGCAGATTGCAGAGTTGTCTGTTTGCAGATTTTGACTCTGAGAAAGTTTTTGGTACATAATACATGATAAAACCTGTGTTTCTTCCTGTGAATACCAAATCAGCATCATTGCAAGGAATAGAATGTTGTCATAGAGAGTTAAAAGCTGCTTTTCCTTAAATATGTTGTTTTACTGAGAGATGGGATTTTAGTGCTGGAATACCTTCCCTCCTGACTCCATAGTCTTATAATTTCTTAGAATCTTGGAATCTTCTATATTTGAGATATCCTTTACAAACTCATTAAAGAAACCGTATAGTTATCATCTGAAAATTTTTTGCACTAAGCAGACAAGAAACACTATAAATTTTAATTACCGAATAAGCCTATAAATAGTACTAAAAATTAGAAAGGAACAGGCTCATATAAACAACATTTTGGGGCTTCTATGTCGCCTAGGTGCAGTATAGTAGTGAAAAGGACTGTGACAAACACTGCATTTTTAGCTTGTCTCATGGCATATGTATTACTGTTCAAGCAATCAATTCTCTTCACTTGGACAAAAGGAATAGAAGTTTACTGAAATGTTCATGGGAAGGGTTATGCGTGGTACCACTTACTCTTCTACACAGGTAGACTGTGATGGGAATGTTTTGCACTAAAGTAGTGCTTTTCTTTTGATTGGTATCAGGTATTTTCTTAGGAGTAAATTTGAGTTTTCCATTGATTACAGACTTGGACTATAAAAGTTAAGATTTTGTGAACCAGACTTTTATTAATTGGCCTCTTAGAAAAGCTCTCTTGGTGGTGAGTTGCATACGAGTGCAGAAAAACAAGAATTGAATGAAAAGCCTTATTTCAGTCCATTAGTATCAGACAGAACTGGTAGCACAAGACTGACTGTGGCATTTCAAAGCAGTGGAAGCCTTCCCTGCATGCTGTGCATTGCCCGCCATATGAGCTCATTGACCAGAGTGAGACACTTTGAGGGGTGGAAGTCAGCTTCTTAATTACAGCAAATACTTCCAGATGCTCAGAAATACACTGCTTCTACCAAAGTAGTCCACAGTACTTGGCCAACATGCACTCATCAGGCTGCTCTTGTACAATGCCTCTGCTTGTGTGCAGCAAGGCCAGAGCATATGTTGTGTGTAACCAAATTAACCACTCTGTGAGTCCTCCTAAAGGAAGCTCTCTGACATGGGAGAAATGCAACTCAGGACAGAATTCTCCTTTTGGTCTTCAAAGGTGGGAAAAATACAGATTCTGTTTCAGACAGGGCTGAACCTTTCAGAAGATAAGCGCTCTTGTATGTTGGAAGAAGAAGCTTTTGAAATATGAACAGAATTCTAAGTTTCAGGCTGTAACAGTTCTAGAGTCTCTTTATATCCTGAAAGTTGTTTATGTTTTTGTCCTAAATGCATGTGGAGGCATTCAGTCTAAGCAGCTAGAGTTGACTCTTACATTCACCAAGTCTGAAAAGGAAGATTGTGCTGCTCTGCATTGAATTACATCATACTCTATGTACTTTGCTCTTCCCCATCTGAGTCTGATCTTTGTGTAAGCATAGTTACTGGAGAACTTTGAAGCCATAAGGCTGTCAATTACTTATATTTAGCTATGTACAGAGCTGTTTTCTGGAGGCACAGACAAAATACTAGTGTATTTTTAAGTAATTCAACTTAATTTACTGAATAACCACTACACCTTTTGTTTCATTGTAACACAAAGTGTATGAAAGCATATCCAGATGTAAATTGTTACTGAGAGTATTGGTGTGCTGCAGACTATTAGATGATGTTTTGAGATACCAGTCATCATAAGCAGAAGAGACCCCAAAATAGAATTACTCCATTTTTTTTCCACAAGTGGCTTGTGTTTAATAAGGTGTTTAGATTCTACTAAAAGGGTGCTGCCTTACTTCATGAATGCTGCCATTTATAGAAACATATGCTTCAGTAAAGAAATTGCTTTAAATCCTTTCTGAATTGAGCAGGCAGGACAAAATGCAGTGCCCTTTAACGTTCAGATCTTTGAGCTGACATACAGCTTTGAAAACATTTTCTGAGTATAAAAGTGTATCGTGGACACAAAGTAATGGAGGGCTCTTCAGTGCTGTTACACTACTACAGACAAATGATAAATAGTGCATCTTGGAAAAAGACTTAAATGTGAATATGAAGCAACAACTTACGGAAGGATCAAGGAAACAGATCAAGGAAAATATAATCAATGAAAAGCAAAAAATTAAAAATAGATAAAGGTAATGCTGTTGCTTGCCATGCAGAGTTAGTTAGAAGAACTAAATAACATAGGTAATGGTTAGATAGGGTTGTAGGTGAGATGTTGAGATTAGGGTAAAGAGAGAGGCTTGCTGTGTGTTCTTAAAGCTGCCAGTTTCAGCAGCAAGGTTTCAACTTTCTTTGGCTTTCTGCCTTTCATGTGCAGAAAATAGGAGCAAGTAATCTTTCTGGTCCTGCACAGATAAAATGCTTGATGTCAGAAATAGAGGTGTCAGTAAGGTTTAAATTTTAAATGTCCTGAATCTGCTACGTTAGAGAGTAATCTGAGGTTCTAGGTGCTCAGTTTGACATCTGACACTGCTGTTAATCTATTTAGCTGCCTTGAACAGGTCATTTTATGTCAGGACTTACGTCAGCAAAGCAGAGAAAAATATTAATAAACTGCAATATTTGAACTGTTTGAACTCAAAAATTAGTGCAACTCAGCCCAGTGAAGGGAAGTCTAAATTTGAAGTTCTATTAGGAAGTTCCTGTGTTTGAAAATCTGCACACTTTCATAGATGAGAATCTGGTCTGTACTAAGGACAGCTTTTGATTTTTGCATGTCCACAGTTTTAGTACTAGAAAGCAGAACAGACAAATCTGCAGATGAAAAATTAGTCTTATTTATAATTGAAGCAGGAAGTTTCTGTTGTGGTTTCAAGTTGGTCTTTATGAAAGCATTTAGGGTTCCTTGATAGGGAAGAATCTAAATGAAAGTCTTCCTTATGTATTGCCAGATATGGTTGATTACTTTGGAAGAATGGCAGAACTTCTCTGTAAGATGGATTTCTCATGTTCCACCCCTTCCATTGTTAGCCTTTAAATGAACAGGCTTTACTTTGCATGTTTAAGGAGTGTACCTACAGGAACTTCACGTTGCTCAGCTGAGGAGTACTAGTGTGTAATGTTTAATGTGCTCTTCCATTGTCTTAAACAGGCTTTTTTTCTCCTTACCAATAACAAATTCTTATAAACAACTGACATTTTCAGTACCACAGGTTGCTGATGGGTACTGTCTAAATTCTAGTGGAAAATACTGCTTCAAAAAAACCTGTCCAACAAACAATCGAAACAAAAAACACACCACAAAACTCTCAGTAGAGGTAAAAGAGAAGAAAAAATAATTTGATTTCTTCTGAATACCTTTACAGTTTCTTCCACAAGATACTGTAACAAGACTCAAAATAGAAGACAGAGTCATCTACAGTTTCTGATCACAGTTTAAAAACAGCATTTAAAATGTCTCAGGCTTTTCTGAATCATACCATCTGCTTCATGATAAATTTAAGCATATTTAATATTTATATTTTTAGATCACAAACTTACATTAAAAAGTGGTCTCCTCTTTCCTTTATCATATCTTCTGAAATCCAAGCATGCATTTGAATTTATGCAGTTCAGGATAAGCAAGCAGTATTAGAAGGGTGCTGAGTAAAATGACAGGTAAAAAGGTTTTTGGATTAAAACTGTGTAGAATGAGCATGTAAACATGGTTGTTTTAGATCAGACCCTCTAAGAGGTGATACAGTCATCCTATCCACACATTGTCTCCAGAATCTACAAGAAAGTAAAGTCTGTGCTAGCTGCAGCTCAGAAATATTAGATCCTAGCTTGTTGGTAAGATTTTTCAGCCTTTGTATGTTAGCTCCATTTTAAGGTTTCAGATTCTCTGCAAGTGCAAGATCTTCAAAAACAAAAAGAGATGGTGTACAATACCCAAAGAGCAGAGAAAGATCAAAGGCCTGAATCAATACTCCTCAAAGATCTAACAGAGTTTAAGTGGAGCTAATACCACATAGGAAGAGGTTAGTGGGCAGAAAAACACCAGTTAATTAAATGTAACTGAAAATCTTACTAACAAAGGTCGAAATTATTGTGGGTGATCTTACATAAAACCATAGTACAGTATAATCAAAAGACTGTGCTCCTTTCAAGAACTCTTGAGACACTGAAGTTTATGGGTATGCATTTTAGGCATGGTAGAAGACAAAAAGTGTGAGTTTGATAGCAAGGCAGTACAGATGCAAATTGTTATTTAGAGTTGGAGGTTTCTCTCTGGTAATTGTCTCCTTCATTAAGCCACGCAGATGAAAGGTATACTGGATTATGTAATTGAGCATCAACCCAAGGTCTGTCAAAGAGGATGAACTTTGAGTGCAGCTATTGAAAATTAATCATTTTACCTTGACATGCTAATACTCTCCCTAAGAGTTACCATGTGTGGCCTTCCTAATAGCTTGTGGGTTAGTGCTGTCATGAAGATGGTTCTCAGGGCAAGGGCACAGCACACAGCAATTCCCAGTGGGAATCTTGGACTTTTTGTGTGGAGAAAATAAAGGAGAGCTTGACTTTTAGGTATTTTTTTTTACTATTATTATGTTTTCGTAGTTTGTTATTTATAGAACGGCAGCAAATCGGAGATTCAAAAAAGGTGTATTTCTGACATGAGGAGTATTCTTGGTGGCAGAGAGGCACGTAAGAGTCAACTTCGGAGCTGTTGCCCTCAGCTGTGCTGTTCAGGCAACAGCAGGGACTTGTGCATCTGGTTTGTTTGATGGCTGCAGTGTGATCCTTTATTATGTGAGTCCTGTGTAGGTACAGGAGTTTTGCCATGTTTGCATTTAGAAGGCAACTTTGAAAAAGACATAGATGGCAACTATTCTGGGCATTTTTGAATTTTTGAAATTCTCTCAAGTCACCCTACTTCTGGACCCCTTCTCTAGTATTCAAGGCCTCTTTAGAAGAATGATGAAAGCAAGTGAAGGCTATATTCTTATATTGTGTACAGACAGTTTATTAGTTTAATTTTACTTCTCTATTCCAGCATTTGATTATACTCAGAATAAGGGTAGTGTGTATAGCACACAGTATATTTAAACTTTTCTTCATAGAGTGGATGAAAGATATTTGTATAAACACGTGTGCAAGCTTAGTCATTTGTTCATTCTTACCTGTTATACATATAATGCTTGTGTTACAGTTTGAGTTCACTAACATGAAAAATTAAGGCCTGTGCATATATTATTCTATTGTTATTGTTGAGTTGAACATTCAGTGACTACATTTTAAATTTAGAACCTGGTAAGTTTACTTCTTTTTTTTTAGAAGGTAGCTATTTGATTGTAAACCTTGATTGTAGCTCCAGAGCTGGCTTGGGAAGGGATAGGATCTAACTTGAGTTAAAAGCCTCAAATTTAAAATGTATCAATATGCATGGTAGCTTATGGAAGCTATTGCATGCTGAAAAATGAAGCCTATTTAATAGCCTTTTCAAATGGGTACAAAGCTTTGAAAATCAGTGTATTCATTGTAGAATAATTTTCTACAGGGACTTCTAATTCCACAGGGAATTGGAGTTGGGCCATAGAAGTCAAATAAATATCTCTAATATTTTTCTGTCATTCTCACCAGGTTTCCAGAATAAAAATAGGGTTGCAATCCTGGCAGAACTAGACAAGGAGAAGAGAAAGTTACTTATGCAAAACCAGTCTTCCACAAATCACCCTGGAGCCAGGTATTTTATGTTCTTAGACCTGTTTGGACATCATGGATTACATCAAAAAAACCAAACAGCTAGTGAGCTGTAAACTTTTATATAAATACTTAACAGAAGTGTTTTCTGACCATCTGTAACAAGGCAGAGTGACATTGCTCTTTAGGAACATACTAATATTTAAAATTGTTTACATAGCATGAATTTTAGCCTATATCATTAAAATTTGAGAATGAGAGAAGCAGATCTGCTTACTCAGGTGTATTAAAATCTACCATAAAGAAAAATCAGAAATCAGACACTGAAAAACATTTCATTATTAACCTGAAACGCTCTGGGGAATGGAAGTAGCAGACCATTAGGTTCAGGATTCTCTGTGCTTAGAGAGGAACAATTACAGCAGGAGTGAGTTATTCTTGAAACCCCCTATGTGCAAGACAGGGCCAGTTTATGTTAGAGCAGATAATCTGGTAAAAGATGCTGTTTTGTAGGGATGATTCTACACCATAAAGTGTAATAATCTAATCTGAGTTGAACGGCTGTTACTGGGATTTCTCCCATACAAGACAAGAAGATTGGATTTTTGTCATAAATCAGTAACTAGAAAATGACACAATAATTTATGTGGACAAATTGAGGTCCTTAAACTTTGTGGTTAGCGTGAAGTGAATGCAGTGCCACATTCTAGACACAGTGTAACCCGCAACACCTGTGCAAGAGCCAGATATTCTCTGATAGACTACACTCAGGTAGACTACAGTCTGAGTGCTGCCTGTGTCTTTTTTGCGAAGAGATTGCACTTTTAATTCCTTCATAATGTCAAAAACATGCAGAATACTTGAAATTGCCTGATGTAGACTTCTGAGTGAGGTAAGAAGCTATTATTTATAACTGTACATGGTTATTATTTGAGCAAAATTGTTGGAAAGAAAATCAGAATATGTACAACTCCTGACGCCTGGCAACATTGTTTCTGTGCTTCATTGTAAGTCTGACAGAGCTTCAGAGAGTGCTTGTTTACTCCCTTTTTTCTTTAAGGAAATATAATCTGTGTTCTATTGAGCAGAATTAGAATTTTCTGGTTTTGAAGGTGGACATGAGTGGAACCTACAATGCAGCAGTCAGACTCTCTGCTTTGGCATGGTGGGCTGACATGTGATTTTTGAGAAGCTGACAGTTTTTTGATGTTGTACCAGAGGTCTCAGACCACAGTGTTGTCAGAATTGAGACCATAAAAATTGTGCAAACTTGACTGGAAGAGCTTGATGTACCTGAAGGACAGCAGTGGCAGGGATGGCACAAGGGTGAATGAGTTAATTGCTTTCTGACCTTGGCATGTAAAAATCCTGTATCCAAGAACAGAAGACCTCTTTTGAAAAATGCCAGCTTATGGTGGAGCCTTAAGTTTGCCTATAGAAATCTTACTGAAAAATTAGAGGGTACAGATTAAATGCAAATTAAATACCTCCAGAATCACTGAAAATACTGTGTTTCAAATAAACGGAGTAGTACTCTTCTCCAGCAGTGAAACTTATCTTAATACGTGCTGTAAGCAAAATTTTTTCTGAATTGTTTAGATTTTGTTGTGCATTTAGGTGTAGATTTGTCTGCAAATCTTTTCATAAACATGGGTGCTTCTTAAAAACTGATTTACCAAATCAGCTGTTGACATTGAAACTGCTGGTAAAATTCAGTTGATTAAACTGTTTGGAATCCTTGCCATTTGTAATCTTGTCTCTGTGATTGGTAAGAGCAGGGTTTTCAGTAGCAGCCTCCAGTGACAATTACAGAGGTAGTTGAGAATTGTCTTGTGATGAAGTTCTAATGACAACCCTCACCTGATGTCCATGTTACTTATATAGAGTTGGGGTGCTTTTTATGTCTTCTTTTTGGTTTAAGAACGTAGACATGTCCTAACGTATAAAAGACAAGAAAAAACATAAATAAATTTTAATTTGAAACCTTATGCTGCGCTGAGATGGATAAGCTAGATCAGTTTTAGGTACTTCCAAGCTGTCATCAAGAGGTCATTATTTCAGTTAGGAATCAATAGGAAGCTCCTTTATCATAAGTAGTGAATTGCTTTCCCTCACTGAAAGCCTGTTCTTATACTGAAGTCTGCAGAGCTCTTGTTAGTGCTTCTCTTTATCACAGTTGTTTAGAACAGTCACTCAATGACTGAGTAGTGGTGAAAGCACAAAGCTGCTTTAGAAATTCCTTGCATTGTCTAACACTGCACCCCAGTGGTTTCATTGACTTCAGTGGGACTTAACCCTTGGGCAAAATCCACAATAGGCTTCAGGTTAAGTTTGGCAGGAATTGTTTATGATGGCTCAAATGATACATCTGTGGTCACTCCATCTACCCTTTTTCTCTTATATTTACAAATAATAATTCCAAACAGTAACTGATAATTGTCAAGCCATGAGTGAAATGGAGAGTTCAGGAAGTCACGTTATCCACGGCTAGAATGGCAAGAATGTGTTTTGGCTGTGGTCTGTTTCATACCATCTTGTTCTTTATTGCAGCATTGCACTTGCAAGATCACCTCTGAATAAGGATTTCCGTGATCATGCTGAGCAACAGCACATTGCAGCACAGCAGAAGGCTGCACTGCAGGTGAGCTGATACAGTCAGAGTTCAGTTTGGCTCTGTTTTAGATGTGCATCCCTTCAGAAAGCAGTCCTGCTCCAGAGAAATTGAAGAGCCCCTTTTAGAGATTAGGTATCTCACATTTCTGTATTTGTCATAAGTGAAGTCCCTTTTGTTATGATGAAACATGTCCTTGGGCATGGAGAGCTCCACCCAGCCCCACAGCCATCTCTTTGTGTCTCTGTTGAGCTCCCTCCTGTTTGTATCTCAGACTGAGCTCAGATAGCTCCCCTTGGCTTGCTGGCCGTGCTGGTGCTGCTCACTGTGCCAGTTAGCCTTGATCGTTCCAAGGGCTCAGGCTAAATTTGAGATCCAGCAGGGCTCTTCCCCAGTGGTGGATGGAGGGTATATGCAGAACATCTTTACTTGCTGGAGTCCAGCCTTTGAACTGGGAAAGGGTATATAGGATATCACAATGGAGTTCCAGGGCCATACAGCAGCTGCCTCCCTCAGGTGAACAAGTATATCTACATCCCATGAGTGGAATCCTGGCGTCCCAAGTTTGGGAGTGTGTCTGGTGGCACTCCATGTAGCGACTGTCATCAGCAAAGACTTGCAGGCTGATTAAGGGAGTGGAAGTGGAAACATGGAGTCTAGGCAAAGAAGAGCAATCAGGAGTTGATTTGCCCCACCTCCATGGGGTTGGTCAAAAAGAGCAGGAGAGAATGTCCCAAATTAATTGTCATGATGGGCCCTGTTCTGATATGTGGCTGATGTAAAATGCTGGGTTTGAATTTGACTATCAGAATTAAAGAGTATACTGCGAGAAAGAAGTAATTAATGCTGCAGAACCCATGAAGTCTTAAGTCATGTCACTGCTGTAAGGAGTAACACTTTAACAAATGCTTTTCTCTTTCCAGCATGCACATGCACACTCCTCAGGATACTTCATAACTCAAGACTCTGCATTTGGGAATCTTATTCTTCCTGTGTTACCTCGACTTGAGGCAGAATGAGGAATTTTGTTTGTCTCAGTAATTCAAGATCTGATTTATCCATAGCAGGAGCTGTCTGACCTTTTAATTTCTTTATGTATCTCAAAACCTACTTTTTTCTGGGTTTTTGCAAATGCCATACAGGAGTGTGAGCTCTAGTGATGGGGAAGTAGTGTTGAAAATTTTTTATCCTGTATTTCTGTTCCTCTGTCAGGTCAAAGTCAAATGCAAGACTTTCCTTGGAGTTGAAGTACACGGGGTTTGCTCTTCCGTGTTTCAGTGCTTCCTTTAAATAAATGTCCAAACCAGAGTCACCAAGAGATGCACAATCTGTCAGCATTTGTGTTTATTATGTAGAGGTATGATTTTTGTAATGAATAATGAAAATTATTTCTGTCCATCAAAACAGACACGAATTTGTCTAATGCATCAGCCAGTCTTCCTCCCCACCCTCTCCTATGCAGGAACATTTCTAGTGTACTGTTTGCCATTGTAGCATCATCTGGTCTCAAGTCCTTAGTTATAGTGTGCCTGCCTCTTACCTTGTTTTGTGAAATATGAAAATGTATTAAAGTGGGGAAAAAAGCAAACTTTTCCAATAGTCTTTTTACAGACAAAAAGTCAAAAGTTCTCTGGACATTTCAGATGGAAAGTGCTGTCTGCAAAGACAATTCCATTTAAAAGGTCAAATTTTTCTAGTCATGCCTTCTTCAAGACTCACTGTCTTATTTTTGTTCACTTTTTGCTTTGGTGTTCTAATCTGTGGTAAACAATTCCAGCATCTTGCTGAAAGAAGATCTGTTGATCTTAAGGTGAATTATTTTGGAACTGTGATTGTGCTACCAGGATAAAGTAACGTAAGAGTGAAAAATAGTCCTTACATAGACTATTGTATTTCTCCATAGTTTTGCTTATACAGTTATGCTGCTACATTGATTGCTTTGCCTACGGAGGCAAGTTCTAGAAAGCAGAAAAGAACAGGAAAACTTACATGAGAATGGTAAATCAGAAGGTATCTGTTAAACTGGTGCCCAATTGAAGCAGCTCTGTCCTTTGCAGAAACTTAGCTGTCCCACTTTCCGGAAGTTTCCAGGATTGTAGTTGGCATTTCCTTTGGGGAATCTAGGGTATTCTGTTTACCCAAAAAGCACTACTGAACTATCTTCATATTTCACTGTTAATATTTGCAGTAATCATGAATATAGAACAATTACCAAGAGATGGGTGAAGGTATGAGGAAAATGCCACTGCTTTCATATACCTCAGCTGAGTACAGGCCTTTGCAGAAACTGGAGCATACTGAAACATTTTCAGGAAGGAGGATCTTCTGGACCCAGCCTGATAGAGCTTAAAGATGTGCAATTTTAACAAGAACTATTCATACCATATGCTTTTTTTTCTGGATTCTGATGTGATGAGTCACGGGAATGATGGCGGTTTTTGTGGGCAGTGGAGAAAGAAGTCACTTCTATTTTCAGTGGTTGGCTCTGTGTAGCTTTTTAAATACCAAAAGTGCATATGAAATTACCATATGAAATTGTCCTGACTATTCATTATTCTGCAGTGGGAGCTGCATATCTTAGATGCTGTGAAGAAAAAGATGTGCAAATTTCAGTGTACAGGAGGCAGCTATGAATATGCCCAACCTGGAAACATATAAAGGCAAAGGTGTTAAAGCAAATGCAGCAGAAAGCATGGATTTTTATATTTCAGTTGAATTTAACATTAAAGTAGCTCTGTGCTAAGAATTTGAACTGCAGAATCTGTCAGTTCAGTTTTACAGACTGCGGGTGATCCAGGCAATGCAACAGTAATCATCCTTCTCCACTGGAAAGTTACAGTTGCTCCTCTGAAGGAGTTAACACTTGTTGGCTGTGTTGTCTTCACCTTGGGTATTGCTTTTGGAAATTCAGGGCCTGAGCTCAAGAATGAATGTATTTGAATGGGGAGGAGGGGGAATGAACACAGGTGTTGTGATACTTTTAAGTTACAATGTCTCACATTCCTTGATGATGTGAGGGTCTTGATGATACATGTAGATAGGATTAAGTGTCAAATACACAAGTTACATGTATGGAAGCACCTATCTTAGAAATGACAGACTGGAGCAATTACTGTCAGATGTATCAGTTTGTCTTGCCACTCTTTCTTTCCTACTGTTCCTCAGTATTGGACACATTAGTCTATCCCTATACAGTAACTTCAGCAAAACCCTTTCCCCTCTTGGAATCCCATGTTCAAATTCAAATCATTACTAGTTAGAATACATGTGAACCAGGAAGTGCCTGGGATGTCTTGCTTCTGGCAGTAACCAAGTTGTTGACATGAAAACTGAAGCCTTGTAATGTAGTGCTGACCTGTGTACCTGTGTACGTGACTCAAGTAATTTTATTTCATTTGCTACAGTAGACATTGGCCCTTCCACTCGCCAGAAGTTGGTGTAGAGTCTGTTAGAGCTGAATGGTGGGGTGTAAGTAGCTCATAGATTGGGCTAACATGCCATGAGATCACGTTTTCTAAGTGATGGCAGAGTTGTAATCTCTCAAGAACAGATGAAGTAAAGGGGTCAAAGATGTGCTTCTTTTAGAAGCACTAAAAGAACTGAACCACAGATTGTTTCTTAGTTCTGTCATCTTTTTCTTCCACTAGACAATTCTCTTCACATCTTTGTTTTCTAAAGTTACCCACCATTTCTCCACCATTTTATGCTCTGGAAAATGCTCTGGTTTAAGTTAGAAAGCTTGGCCTGTAAAATCATGTGTGATTGCCTACCATGTGTGCTTTTACTCTCCCTTTTTCCTTAGTATTTTCATTCTGCTGAGCTTCTAGAAGCACTGATACGAAATTGATCAATAGTACCTGATGTTTTATTGGACTTTATATCAGAACACAAAATACTCCATGAAACGCGGTAATGGAAAGAAATTACACCCCCTGGTATGGCTTGCCTAAATCTTCCTAATTGCTTTGATGTGCTCAGTCAGGAGGTCAGAATTGGTAAATGCTGCTTTTGCTTTCATGTGTTTTCAGCAGTGGACAAGCCAGCTGTAATTTTCTGTCCTGTGGACACATCTGGGTAGCACTGTTCATGGACAAGGATCCTGTCTGAGGTACACACTTTGGATGGCTCTAGGCTCTTACTAAATCACCTTTGTAACTTAAAGGCCAGAGGTCACTTATTGTCTTCCTGCATAGCAGTGAAGTTAGTGCTCCAACCAAGCCTTGGAGAAATGAATGAAGAGACTGGGCTTTTCCCAGCCTCTTTATAGAAGAGGAAAATGTCAACTATCAGTGTACAGGGAACATGAACTGATGGAAGGGAATGCAGACAACAGCATCTTAAGAGTGCACAGCTTTTTATGGCTTCTCTCAGAGAATCTGCAGTGTTGTAGGGGCAGAGCACAAGGGCTGAAGTCGGGAATGGGCCTAAAACAGTGTGGTATGCAGTCACAGACAGGAGCAGGCAGTGAGTATCTCACATAAGTGTATCCTCTTAAGCATTATGGTAGCTAATTCATTCAAAATCAGGAGAACAGCTGAGAAAGCAACCGGATGATTCCTGTTGGTGAAATTTACAGCAGTCACAATTCCTCCTGACAAATCAGCTTAAATAGCAGGCCTTTTTGAAGGACAGACAGTCAGTCCTGCTGAAACTGAAGCTGATTCCCGTGTTTTGGGGAACATACAGTAACCAAAAAGACACATGAATCCTAAAGCAAGAGTTAATAGAAGGCAGCTGCTCTGCTGAGCGGTCTGTGTGCACAGCCACCTCTGAAGGAGGAGGTGGAGAATGTGGGAGGGATTGTCTGACACCCAGCTGGAAAATTGCACCCATCCAGAGCTCTGTGTGCTTGATTTATGTTTTGCTAACACACAGGGAAAATTCTATAGCACCTGCCAGTAACACCCTTGTGTCTGGAAAGCCTGGTAATCAGTGCGTTCTGAAACGCTTTTGGAGGGCTAAAATACAGAGCTTTCTGTTGTGAATGGTAACTTTGACAGCTAGTCAGTGAAGCAGTTTTCACATGCTGTTAGGTTAATAACTTGCTCAGTGAGTTTCTGCATTTACTGGAAGTACAGAGCTCGCCTCAGGCATTTTACAATAACACTCTTCTGTTTCCTAGTTTTTGTTCTTCATAGAAGGAACCAAATGATACATGTTTTTGGGAAAATGAGTTTTACATTCCTTCCCTGAATATTGGTTTTTTTAGAGAGAAAGTTTAATGTATTAAATGGAGAAAGCTTGATTATTTCAGTGAGACATTATGAAAAAATCTGTTAAACTACTGGTGAGGAAATTACTTTCCTCAGCTATTCCACTCTTCCAGGTTCATTCCAGCATTGAATTAGGAAAGGTGGTGACATAGTTCTCAACCTGTTCTCATTAAGCTCTCTCATTTGGATACTTTGGTGTCAGTGGATGCTTCTTCTTTCATGAAGATTTTGTAGGTAAGGTCTGAAAGATGTTCAAAATCTACCTAGAAAGTACAAATCACAAGCTCACATGCCACCTTCATTATGCACATACATTGCACATATTAGGGTTGGTTTGAAGCTGCTCCATTCTAAGCATAGCCTGCTTCCCTGGACTTCGAGGTTTGCAAAGGCTGACCTTTTCCCTCTGAGCTGGGCCTGTGTATATGTCCCAGTCTCCCACTCACACACAGATTGGTTTTGTCAGATTCAGGCCTAATCACTTTCAATTTCATACCTTGAGCTGGTCAGTTTGCTCTGTCAGCAAACATGCCTACTTAACCTGTTGGTTTGGATAGACTGTCTTTTTGATGGGTTTGCTCATCACCTGACACAGCAGCATCCTTACATAAGACAGGCTCCTAAGCACAGGAAGTCATTTATAGGCACAAATAACTGGTGGTTCAGCTTTTGGCAGTGATCTTCATTTCAGCTAAGCATTGCTAGAGTAAACACAAAAAAATTATTTCCATTTATAGAAATATCCCCCATATTCCTTTGTACCTTATTCCACTGATAAACTCAGGGGCAGAGTTTCAGAGATGTCTCTACAATTCCTGATCCCTACAGTAAATAAGAAGGAAGTGTGAGTCCAGCAGCACTCACCACAGCTTTTTAGTGGTGCAGACATATGTTAAGGATAGCTGGTGATATTCAACCGAGAGTGGAAAGTCTAAAACTTAATAAATTATTCCTTATCCAAAATCCCACCTCAGTCAAACCCTCCATGTCTTAAGTCAGCAAATTGGTTCCCTAAGCATGGGTGAAGACAATTCAGTACAACAACAGAGCCCTAAAGCAGACAGGAAGCAAGGTGATTCTTGTTTCTTTATTGTTTTTTAGCCTTTCCACACTAGTGTGATGTGTGATTCTAGCTGGCCTGTTTATTACAACCTTTTTGTCCTTTTTAAGTCTTGTCAGCATTTTCTTAAGACTTCCTCCATTTTTTCCTCTTGACACATTCATCTCTCTCAGTTACACTGTGTTGCTACTCCAGTTCCATTTCTTCATTCCCTCCCGTTAGTGTTCTTTCCTTGCAATATCCCTTACCTCAGCTACTTGGTTATGCCACAGCAAGTGTGCTTTAATGAAGCTCTATTTCAGTACTAAACAAGATAATTGCATTTTTTGACAGATACAAACAAGACTAGGACAAGAAATTTACTTTTGGGAACCCTCAGAGTATGTTCAGCTGAGAAAAATCATGACTATTGGATAGCTCAGTATCACCCTAAAGTACTCAGATTCATTGATGAGGAAGTTGGGGAGTTTTTTGCAGCATTTAAACAGTTCTATTATTACTGAAGAGTGACATAGATTGTGAAGAGTCTAGCAAGCTGAGTCAAATGAAATGCTGGCTGATTCCAGCCTGAACAGAAGCCCGATGACATAAATGAGGGATGCTACCTGAGGGTAAAGACCAGGTAAGCAACAACAGCACCTACTGTTGTTGTGTAAAGCACACACCAAAATATCTCAGTCCAGAGCTCTGTAAGGGAACGGGTTAAGGCAAGGGGATGTAAGGAAAGCTCCCCTGCTCTAATCCAGAGACCACCTGCATCCTGCATTGGTAAATACGTGGCTAGTTTGCCACATCCTCAGGCTCTGATCCAGTGGAAGGCAACTAATTGGCACAGTCCTCCCAGAAACTTATTTTTGCCACTGGACAGTAAGGGTTAGAGAAAAGAGGTAAAGCAGATGAGTGGTGACTGGAAAAAGGTTTCTTTCGTGGGCCATGGGGCTAGAAGATGAGGTGAAAGTGCTGTCTTGGAACATGGGTTTGTGCTGTTCATGTGGGAGCAGCTCAATCCAATGATAGCTGTGGTGAGTTCTTAGTCTCTGCTCCTCTGAAAGAGCCTCACACTCCAGCTCTGTGCTGGGAAGTGCAAAAGTCACCTTACATACAAGATGAGCTGAGTGAGGCTCTAGTTCTCACTTTCCAAGGGATGCCTTGGGACTTCAAAATACTCTTACTCTCTGCTGGTGCTTCTCAGACTGTCTGAGAAGGCAACCAGAAACCCCAGAGGTTCACCACACAGGAGCAGTTTTTGTGCTGTTC